TTAAAATTATTAATTTTAGGCAGACAGATTCTTGAAGCTAGAATTGTACATATGGAATATTGAGCATCAAATTTTTAAGCACATAGACTTACTAAAATAATCATGATGAGCAATCATTTCTAATTTTTGGAGAGTTCGAGAGCTGCCTCATATCCATGAACATTCTACATAAATGTTTATTTAGTAATAATCCGTAATTCATGTTTCTTGATACTTTTCCATCTGCTTCAAACAAACTACACATTACCACAACAATCTCCAAATTACGTTTGAATCAGCCTTTTACTCTCTTCTTATCAACAAAACATTTTAGCAACAGAAACAAATACGCAACGCCATCTGTGAACAGAAAAATCTTTATTTTCAACATATATGCTGAGAGAGCTACAAGTTAATGATTAGCATTGACCACCCAAAATCAAATTATATTTCGCTTATTTACTGTGCCAAACTTTACCATTGGTACACAGCCTTGTGATTGCTTTTTTTTTTCTTGAATTTTATTTTTTATAACTGGACGGCAAAATATTGCAGCGAAGGATAATATTTATAACCTTTAAAAGCTCCAAATCAAATTGTATATTCGTATTTATTTTATGTTAGAACAAAATTAAGAGTTAATGCTTCCTGAGTATAAAAAAAATGAATAAAATGGGGCAANATATTTCAAAAAAAGCTTTTGAAACGAATTTTAATTATTTCAAAATAATTAAAATTATTTTTTCCAAAATCTCGATAAAAATAAACTAATTAAAGCAGGCGAATATATATATGAAATTTAATAACTGTTAAATTAATTAGATGTAGAATAATAATGTTGACGTTTCATTGGCATTTACAACAAAGGAAAGTATTACGACAAGTGATAAAAATAGCAATGCGAACGAATGTTTGGGGCTCTGTGAGGTCCAAACTTATGTTTTTCTAGAAAAATATTGGGAGTAAATTCCAGAATTATATTTAATTAGCTTGAAGGTGACTTTTAATGCAGCTTCTAAAAATATGAGGAACTTTCAAATAACGGTGGTTGGACTGCTCAATTTTTTTGCAACAGCTGGGCCTGAAATTTCTGGCACGCCTCTTCGATGATTTTAACTCTGCATAACTTGTACCCAGGGGCCCCCATCAGGGGGGAAGGTGGGCGCACGATGCACCCACTTAAAGCTGGGGGGGGGAATTTTTACACTTAATAAAACGAATAGTTTGGGGGGGATTTAGACGGGAGAATTTCTTTTTTTTTTAAGTACATAAATAAAAGAAGCAACTGGCGATTTTCAGGTATACATAACTTGACTACCGGCGCTAACAAGGAAGAGGGAAGTTAGCAAATTTTTTTTTGGGGGGGGGGGGATGAATGCTCCTAAGAGCTTGGTGGAGGATGGGGCCACTGGCCGGGGGTCACGATTAAAAACACCAGTCTAATGTCGGGCCCCAACTTTATCAAAATTTTATATAGGACTCTTTTATGTTTGAATGAATATTAAATATTACTGTCAGACTTTTATCAAGTTGTACAAAACAAAAGTATTGAATTACAAATTAAAATAAGAAGTAGATTTTTACCTGAGAAATAAATTTTTTTGCTCCATTGGTATGATAAATTTCACAAAAACGAAGAAATTAGGTTTTTTTTTAATGAAAGAAAAGTATTTTAAATCTATATAGATTTTTTATGAAAATTGTCCGCAAAAAATTACAACTAATATATTTTAGTTCGCGGGCCACAAAAAAGGCTTCTAGGGCTGGATGCGGACCGTGGGCCGCCAGTTGGTAACCACTGGTTTAGATCATACGATTTCTCATATATATCAGTGAAGTTTAAAGTCTTTGGAGGTTTTAGGGATAGACAATATATTACAAAAAGAAAAATATGTTTTTGATCACTCTATGCCAATGTAGTAATAGATTTGTAACTTATGACAGTTTTTTTGGTTATTATATGCAGTAACAACATAAAATTTCGTAAGTCTAGCTTAAATATTTATAGAGATATAGACATTTTTATTTTTAAAAAGAAACATCTCTTACTTTTTTTTCTTTTGCTATTATTTTAAAAAAATTAAATTAAATTAAACAAAATGTTTAGAGCAATTGAAAATTGATTATAAAATTCTTACTTTAAAATTTGAGAAAAATTCGTTTAAAACTGTGCAAGATGTGAGTTATTAAAGTAGTTCTATAATACTGCTCATGCGAGGGAAGAATTTTAATTTTTCTTCTTAATTTTGTAGTGAATTGTATTGGCAACTAATAAAAAACGTCCGATTTGAATACATTAAAAATTTAAAAAAGTTTCACGCAATTTTCAAAGTAGTTTTCATACTTAAAGAAAGCTCGAAATGATAAGGGGTTTTCTACAATTATTATTTTGCATCATGAGACAGAATTTAATAACAAATGATATACCTTACATACATCAAATGTTCAAACACCAAACTGTGATTTAATAAGGAAAGGAAACAGGCGAAAAAAGACACTTTTATGGAAGTTGATTCCCAATTTTGCCGGTAGTGTTTTTAATAAATAGTATAAAATGAAATATGAGGGAAACATTTTATCTCTTTACAGCATTCTTTCAAAAAGTACGAAAACTACTAAAAAAAATTGCTTGAAACTTTTTGAGTTTTTAAGATATTCAAATCGGCCTTTTTTTGTTGTTGTTAAATACGATTAATTAACTACAAAATCAAGAAAAAAATTAAAATTTTTTCCCACGACTACACAGTAGAAAAGAACTACTTTATTTGCTCGTATCTTGAGCAGTTTTCAGAAATTTTTCTCAAATTTTAAAGCAAAAATTTTAAAACTTATTTTAAATTGCTCTAAAAATATTGTTTAAATTTATTGAATATTTTTAAAGTTATATCAAAAAAGCGTAAAACAAAAAAATTATTATTTTTTTAACAGAAATATTCATATTTCCATAAATATTTTAGCTAGGTTTACGAAATTTTGTGAGTGTAATTATTACATATAATAGCCAAAATAATTGTCACAAGCAAATATAAAGCTCCAATTTTTTTTTTTTTTTTTTTTGCACGCGTTGCTCAAAAACATTTTCCGTTTGTAATTTATTATTGAACCCTCAAGCCTTCAACAACTTTAAACTTCATTGATACGTATGCGAAATCGCCTAATCTAAACACTTCTGAAGTTATAAAATAATTCATAAAATATTTCTGAAGAAATATGAAAAAATGTATTAGTATTGAAGTAATCCCCGCAGTGCCCGTGGTGCGGGGAAGGGGTGCACGAGGTTTGAGGACGCACGATCGACAAATAATACACTATGATAGGGCTGAACACCAGCTTTCTATGTGCTGTTTGCGGCAACACTTAAATATAGTAAAAAAATTATAATTTTTTTGGAAAATAAAAAAACTGAAAATTTTGAACTGCTCATTTTTTATCGATCCAAATCTAAATCAATGTAGTTTTTCAATCGCTTTTTATCTGTGATTATTGCAACAAATTTCCAAAGTTTTAATCCTCAATTTTCCAATCTTTTTATTTCGACAAAATTATGACATTTTTCTTCTTTTTTTTTTAAAAAAAAAGAAAGTTTTCTTTTCTTTTTTTCCTCTTTTTTGAGTCACTATTATATTACTATTTTCGAAGTACTTTCTCTACGTACTATTTCTCTATCTTTTCAAAGTTCTTAATGGCCCTTTCAAACAATTTTGATGATTCATGTTGGTTTCAGTGTGACTCATGGTGGTCCAATATCATTTGATGGTTACCATCATTCAACATTTTCGAGAATGTGTTTATGGTTTCTGATATGCCAAGAAACTTCTAAAATTCCCTGATGGAAAATGCTTCTTTAATACTATGATGGTTAACAAGCAAAAGAAGTTTGACTCTCATGAACCAACAATTCATGATGATCCGTGGTGGTCCATAATGGTTTCAATTAAACATTTTCATGATGGTTTTATAGGAATTCTTGCTGGTTCTCAGGAATATACCATTAAAAAAAAAAATTTTATGTTAGGTTATGATAAATCAGTCCGAATTTCAATATTGAGATAATGGTTGTTCATAATTGTTCCAACATTTGATACCTAAAATATTGTGATGGAAATTCGTGATGCTTCCACATGAACAAACCATCAAAACAAGATGCTATTCTTGTATTGGACCCTTATAAATCAGTCCGAATTCCTACATTGAGGTGCTGGTTACCATAAAAAATATAATGCTTCGTGATGGAAGTTCTGATAGTTACTATCAAGGTTATGTTAGCCCATCAATGGAAAACCATCAAAATTTTGACTTGAGTAAGTACACATTTATCTAAGCTTATTTCGTAACTAAACTTTGGCTTATACTCGTTTTTCTAAGTATCGTATCGTTTCCAATTTTTTTCTAATGTCCATCTTCTTTTAATTTTTTTCTATTGTTACATATTTCAAAATTAAGTTTCTCTCTTTTTATATATATATATAATTTTACAAAACCATAAAATTAGATA